AATGTAAAATTATTTAATTTCATTTAATTGACCAATATGAAGATGTTACTTTGGTAATATTTAGTCAATTTATTTAACTTAATGAAAGTAGAAAAAATATTTATTTTAAATAGTGACGAGAATCGAAAATGATACTTATTGAATACTTTTTCAAATAATTAAAAAAATTATTTTTTAATTTTTCATTCAATTTTTGAGAATCTCCATCATATATAAAATTAAACTAAAATTCAGAGTTTAGAATAGATTTATCAATAAATACTAAAATCAGAAAATTTAGGCAATTTTGTATATTTATTTATGTATATGTGATTTTATTTGGAATATTTAACTTTTTAAAGATATGGGAAATAGTATTGATTTCCTTAGATTTATTAGAAAGTGAATTTGCTGAAAATGTTGGAACAGATTTAGTTCTTTAGGATACATACATTACAAAAGTTAATCCTCAAAATTTTATGGATGTAAAGCTACCACAGTAGTTCAGTTTTAACATGTAAAGATTGATAAAAGTAGTATTTTAGAAATTAATAATTAGCCATTCTATGAGGCTGTTATGTGAAGAACAAATGTTGAAGAGACTTTAATAAAATTCCACAGTTTTTTGTCTATATTTTACCATTATCAAATGAACATTTTACTACAACATACATTTGTATTTGTAACTAAACAATAAATCAACTATTCTAAGACATGTAATAGAACCATTTTCTTTAAACATGATATACTTCGGTTTAAGATCATGATGCATTATATTTAAACTATGCATATGAGCTAATTATTTTAGTAATTACTATATTTATTTAAAAAAATTAAAGTACACATATAATTTGTATAATCTATTTCCAAAATAGAGGAGATTTATTGTTAAAGTAATTATTCCTCAGCCTTAAAAATAGAAGAATCCTTAAGGCAATTTTATCAAAGAAAGAAGAATTAAAATTATATGTTAAAATAATGACCCCTAAAAAAGGAAGATTATCTTAAAAAGCCTCTTACAAAGTTTAAAATTTAACAAAAATCATAGATTCATAAGAGTTAAATTAAATATATATATATAATAATGAAATTTGTTCGAATTCAATTTATAATTAAGTCTATATTTTAATTACCCAGTTATGATAAATGAGAAGTATTAATAAATGAAGGTTTAATTAGATAATATTTTTAAAGTTTTTTTTTACGGCAGAAAAATAATGAAATAATCTTATCAGATAAATTTTTTTAGATTGCTTAACTCGAATGGACGTTGAATCGAATCAAAAAAATAATATATTCATCAAATTGTTGTTGTTAGGGAAGGTAAGATTTAAAAAAGACGATAATTTTTTTAATTTGAATAGGAGATGTAAAAGAGATTTTTTCCAATTTTACATTCACTTTATCAAAATAATATTAAGAGAAAAAACAGCCAAAAAAAAGATATAATTAAACATTCTTCTGGATTGATTGATGATCATAAACTTTATCATTAAATTTTCACATTATGCCTCAGCTTTTGCTTTTACATTAAATTCTTATAGATATATTTTTATAATTTTGTAAGATCTTTTGGATTATTAAATTAAGTAAATATTTGTAAAATATAACATTATAAAAATATTTTAATTAAGGTTCTTAATAATAATCAGCAATAATCCTAATTGTATTTTAATTTATCTTCCAAGATTTAACCTCCGAGAGATTTGAATAATGGTTATAGATCTATACCTTCTTAATTAGTAAAATATCCTTTTAAGATTTGAGCCCCCTGTATTTAAAAAATTGGCTTTTCGGATATAAGGAGTATAGTTATAATTTTGTTAACTAATATAATAAAAATAAATAATACTATCTCGAAGAAAATTGTTAGAAAATTGAGGCCTTTTAAATTATACTTAATAATCTTAATAACTTTCTTCTTAGTTTTCCAATTTAACTTTAGACTATACTGTCCTAACATCCCATATACGAATAGATTGATCATAACTACCTGATGATAATTTAGTACCATCAGCAGAGAAGCAGACTGATGAAACTAGATTTGTATGATCACCTAAAATGGCTATTATTTATCTTTTGTTAACATCCCATATATGGATAGACGAATCTTAACTACCTGATGCTAATATATTGCCATCAGAGGAAAAGCATACTGATAAAACCCAACCTTAATGGCTATGCAATTTGGCTTCTTATTATCCTGTCTTAACATCCCATAATCGGACAGACTTATCATCACTACCTGATGCTAATGTTTTACCATCAGGAGAGAAGCATACTTAGTTTACATCATTAGTGTGACCATTCATTTATATTTTTTATTAATTAGTCTTCATATCCCATAAACGGATAGACTTATCATCACTACCTGATGCTAATGTAGAACCATCAGGAGAGAAACATACTGTTAAAACATAATCCGTGTGACCATTTAATTTGGCTTTTTAATATCCTGTCTTAACATCCCATAAACAGATAGATTTATCATCACTACCTGATGCTAATGTAGTACCATCAGGAGAGAAGCATACTGAGTTGACATCATTGGTATGACCATCCAGTTTTAATATTTATTTATAAGTCTTAACATCCCATAAACAGATAGATTTATCATCACTACCTGATGCTAATGTAG